CCCTTTCAACACCCTTCGCCCATTCACTTTCCCACACCAAACCCCCTTCACAACGACCCTCCCACTACCCCCCCTCCTCCCCCCACTCCCCCTCTCCCCAGCCGCCCGCACGCCCCTCCGCCAAAGCACAATTACGAGAGATAAATCCCGGGCGGATCGGCCACCCCGCTCCCCGGGTCTATTAATCGTCTCGTCAGGAGGGTGACAGGGGCCACGTCCGGAGGTTGATTCGCGGGGGCGCGGTCGCGGCACAGCGGCCTGGAAAATGGGAACAATCCCCTGGGGGTGGCACGACGACGGGGGAGGAGGCGGAGGAGGTGGAGGGGAGCGAGGCGGAAGGAGGGTATGGGTGGCGGGCATTACTACTACTCCCCTGTCCGGCGGTGGCGGCCGGGCGGAGGTAATCTCTCTTTCGCTCTCGGGATGTGTGTGGGTTCGTGTGTAGGTGTGGTGGGTGCGTGCGTGTGTGTGAGGGTGTGGTGTGTGTTTGTGTGTGGCGTGTGTGGGGTGTGTTGTGTGTGGTATTTGTGTGTGTCTGTCGTGGGTGTGGGTGTGTGTGTGTGTGCGGTGTGGTGGTAGTGTGTGTGGTGTTGTGTGTAGAGGAGAAGTGAAGGGAGGAAGAGGTCAAGGTGGAAAAATCGGGGAACTAGACAAGGACAGAGAGAGGTTGAAGGCAAAGGGGAGTTATGGGAGAGGAAGAGGAAGGTTATAAGAGGAGAAGGAGGGAAGGAGATGGAAGGAGGAAGAGGAGGGAAGAGGGAGAGCTGTAAGGGGTAGAGAGTGGTGTAGGTGAGTAAAGGGAGTAATGAAGGGAAGAGTAGAGTAGAGAGAGGAGGAAAGAGAAGACGGAGAGAAGAGATGGAGGTAGAGGCTTGAGTAGAGTGTATAAAAGGAGACTCGAGAGAAGAGACTAGGCGGGAATGAGTAGGGGGAAGGAGGAGACGCAGGCGAAGAGATGGCAAAATGATCTACGAAGTAAGAAGCGGAAGAGATAGAAGGGAGATATGAGGACGAACGGGAATAGAGAGGAGGAAGAAGGAAGACGAAGAGAAGATGAGGAATGAGGAAGAGGAGGAAAAGGGAAGAATCGAATGGAAGAGAGGAAAGGAGGGAGGAGGATTGGAAGAGGATACAGAATGGAAAGAGAGGAGGAGGAAAGAGGAAACGTAGGGAGAAGAGAAGGAAGAAGAGAAGGAAAAGAGTTGACGAAGGGAAAAAGAGGAGGATATGAGGAGAACAAAGGAAGAGAGGAAGAGGAAAGGAGGGAAAGAAGGATGAAGAGAAGGAACGAGGAAGACGGAGAGAAGAGAAGAGAGGAGACGAAGGGAAGGAGAGGAGGAGGATATAGAGAAGGAAAGAGTTGTACGAAGAGAAGAGAAGTGAGAGGATGAAGAGAGGAAAAAGGAGACGAAGAGAAAGTAAAGTGAAAGCTGAGAACGAAAGAGATGGGAAAGGAGACCGAAGAGAAAGAAGAGAGGAGGAAAGAGGAAGGAAAGAGGAGACGGGAAGAGAAAGACGGAGGAGGAAGCAAGAGGAGGAGGAAGAAGAGTACGAAAAGAGAAGGAGAGAGAGGGACGGGAGCGAAGAGAGGAGAGGGAGGAGAGGAAAGAGGGGAGCCGAAGGGAAATTGTAGAGGAGGTGTGAGGATTAGAGAAGGAAAAAGAGGAGACGAAGGAAGAGCAGGAGGTAGGGAGAATGGAAAGAGGAGTACAAGGAGAGGGAAGCAGAAGAGGAGGAAAAAAGGAGATGAAGAGAAGAAAAAGGAGACGAAGAGAGAGAGGAGGAGGAGGAGGTGGAAAGAGGAACGAAGAGAAGGAAAAAGGAGACGACCGGGAAAGAGAGGAGGAGGAAGAGATCGGGAAGAAGAACGAAGATGAAGGATAAGAGGAGACGAAGAGAAGAGAGGAGGAGAAGAGAAGGAAAGAGAACGAAGAGATAGAAAGAGAGGGAGACTCCAGGAAGAGAGGAGGGAGGAAGAGTGGAAAGGGAGACGGAAGAGCGATGTAAAAGGCCAACGAAGGAAGAGAGGAGGAGGAAAGAGAGGGAAGAGTAGGGAGACGAAGAGAGTGAAAAAGAATGGAGACGTAGAAGAGAAAGAAAAAGAGGAAGACGAAGGGAAGAGAGGAGGAGGAAGGGAAGAGGAGAGTCCGGAAGACAAAGGAGAAAAAGGAACGAAGGGAAGATGGGAGGAGAAGCCGGTGGAAGAGGAGACGAAGAGAAGGAAAAAGGAAAGAAGGTAGTGGTGTGGGGGTGTGTGTGACGTGTGTGGGTGGTGTGGGGTTTTGTTTGTGTCTGTGTGGTGTGTGTGTGTGGTGTGCTGTGTGAGTGTTCGTGTAGTGTTGTGTGTTTGGTCGCGTCGTCATGTGTGGCTGGTGTCGGCGTGTGTTGTGGGTGTGTGTGGTGGAATGTGGGTGTGTTGTGTGTGTGTTTGTGTGTGGGTGTCGTGTGTTGTGTGTGTGTGTAGTTTGTGGTGTGAAGGGTGTGGTGTGTTGTGTAGGTGTGTGTGAGGGGTGGGGTTGTAGGAATTGTAGTAGTGTAGTGTGTGACTAGTGTGTTCGTGATGCGTGAAGAGTAGTGAGAGTGTGATAATAGTAGTAGTAGTGGGGAGTAGGAGGTAAGAGAAGGAAAGAGAGAGACGAAAGAGAAGGAAAAAGGAAACGGAATAGGTGAGAAGGAGTAGGGAGGAGGTAAGATGAAGGAAGAAGAGAGCGAAGAGAGAGGAAATAGATAACGGTAAGAAGAGAGTGGAGGATGAAGTAGAGATAGGTGTAGGAGAGCGAGGAGATAGAAAAAAGGAAACGGAAAGGTGAAGAGAAGGAGGAAGGAAAGAAAGAAAAAGGAGGATGCGAAAGAGAAGAGAATAAGGAAAAGAAGGGGAAGAGAGGAGGAGGAATGAGAAGGAGAAGAGGAGACTGAAAGAGAAGGACAAAGGTAGACTAATGGGAAGACGAGGAGGAGGAGGAGTGAGGTAACGAGGTAGGACGAAGAGAAGGAAAAAAGGAGACGGAGTCGAAGATAACATAAGGAGACGGGAAGGCGAAGAGAGGAGGAGTGAAGAGAAGGGAAAGAGGAGACGAAGAGAGGATATATAAGGTTAGACTAAGGGAAGAGGAGAGGCAGGAAGAGTGGAAAGTCGTGATGGAGACGAAGCGGAGAGGAAGGAATGTGAGGAGAGAGTAGGTAAGAGGATGTGTAGGAGGAGTGAGGTGGAAAGATGAGAGACGAGAGGAAGGAAAAAGGAAACGGAAGGGAAAGAGCGGAGGCACGGAAGAGAAAGATAAAGGAGACGAAGAGAAGGAAAAAGGAACGAAGGGAAGAGAGGAGGAGGGTAAGAGAAGAGAAAAAGGGTAGACGAAGGGGAAGGAAAAGGAAACGAAGGGAAGAGAGGGAGGAGGTAACGAGAAAGAAAAGGGAGAGCGATAAGAGGAAAAGGGACCGGAGGGTAAGAGAGGAGGAGGAAGAGAAGTGCAAGCATGTGGCGACGAAGAGAAGAAAAGGGCAAACGAAGGGAAGAGACGGAGGAAGAAAGGAGGAAAGTAGGAGACGAGAGAGCAAATAAAAGAGACGAACGGGAATTAGAGGAGGTAGGAAGGAGTATAGTGAAGATAGGAGACTCGTAATATGAGAAGGGAAAAAGGAGAACGAAGGGAAAGAGGAGGTAGGATGGAAGAGGTGGATGTGAAGAGGGAGACGAGGATGAGAAGGTAAAAGAGGAGGACGAAAAGAAAAAAGGTAGAACAGAAGGTAAGAGAGGAGGAGGAAGAGAAGGAAAGAGGAGACGAAGAGAAGGAAAAAGGAGACGAAGGGAAGAGAGGAGGAGGAGGAGGTGGAAAGAGGAGACGAAGAGAAGGAAAAAGGAAACGAAGGGAAGAGAGGAGGAGGAAGAAACGGAACAAGGAACGAAGAGAAGGAAAAAGGAAACGAAGGGAAGAGAGGAGGAGGAAGAGGAGACGAGGAAAGAGGAGAACGAAGAGAAGGATAAAGGAACGGAAGGAAGAGAAGAGGAGGAGAGAAACAGAAAAGGGAGACGAAGAGAAGGAAAAAGGAGACGAAGGGAAGAGCGGAGGAGGAAGAGAGGAAAGAGGAGACCGAAGAGAAGGAAAGGGAAACGAAGGGAAAGAGGGAGGAGGAAGAAGAGGGAAGAGAGAGAAGAGAAGAAAACGAGACGAAGGGAAGAGAGGAGCGAGGAAGAGAAGGAAAGAGGGAGACGAAGAGAAGGAAAAATTGGAAACGAAGGGAAGAGAGGCCGGAGCGGTGGAAAGAGGAGACGGAAGAGAAGGAAAAAAGGAGACGAAGGGAAGAAGAGGAGGAGAAGAAAAGAGAAAAGGAGACGAAGAGAAGGAAAAAGGAGACGAAGGGAAGAGAGGAGGAGGAAGAGAAGGAAAGAGGAGACGAAGAGAAGGAAAAAAGGAAACGAAGGGAAGAGAGGAGGAGGAAGAGAAGGAAAGAGGAGACGAAGAGAAGGAAAAAGGAAACGAAGGGAAGAGAGGAGGAGGAAGAGAAGGAAAGAGAAGAAAAATAGGAGACGAAGAAGAGAGGAGGAGAGAAGGAGACGAAGAGAAGGAAAAGGAGACGAAAGGGAAGAGAGGAGGAGGAAGAGGCTGGAAAGAGGAGACGAAGAGAAAGGAAAAGGAAACGAAGGGAAGAAGAAGGAGGAAGACGAAGGGAAAAGGGAAGAGAGAGGGAGAAAAGAGAAGGAAAGAAGGAGACGAAGAGAAAAGGGAATGGAAAGGAGGAAGGGAAGAGAGGAGGAGAAGAGAAGGAAAGGGAGACGGAAAGGAAAAGGGAAACGGGGAAGAGGAGGAGGAAGAGGTGGAAAGAGGAGACGAAGGAAAGAGGAGAGGGGAAAAAGAGACGAAGAGAAAGGAAAAGGAGAGGAAGAAGGAGAGAGAGGAAGAAGAAGAGAGGAAAAAGGAAACGAAGGGGAAGAGGTGGAAAGAGGAGACGAAGAGAGGAGAGGAGGAGAGGAGAGGAGGAGAACAAGCCGCCCTTCCACCCAGCTATCGACCGGTGGCGAACTTGCCCGGCTTCCCAAGGTCACACGAGAAGCTCCAGCACTTGACCCAGGGTGTTGCCGCCACTCGCTCGCGCGGGTCGGGGCTCGGGTGCGGGGTGTATGGGTGTAGGGGCGTGTAGGGTAAGGGCGAGGGTGTAGGGGTGTAGGGGTGTAGGGGGGTGTAGGGTGTAGTAGGGGTGTAAGGGGTGTAAGGGTTTGGGGTGTAGGGTTTTTTGGGGTTAGGGGGTGTGTAGGGGTGTAGGGTGTAGGGGTGTAGAGGGGTGTAGGGGTGTAGGGGTGTAGGGGTGTAGGGTGTTAGAGGGTGTAGAGGGGTGTAGGGGTGTAGGGGGTCGTAGGGGTTTTCGGTGCGGCTTTCGTGCTTTCGGGGTTTCAGCGGGTTTCGTGCTTTTGTGGCTAAGTTTTGTGGTTCTTGCTTTCGTGTTTTCGTGCTTTTCTGATTTCGTGTTTTCTTGTTTCGTGGGTTTCGTGCTTTTCCTGATTTCGTGTTTTCTTGCTTTCGTGGTTCTGTGGTTTTCATGCTTTCTTGCTTTCATTTTTTCGTGGTTTCATACTTTTTCATGCTTTGTGGTTTCGTGTGTTAATTTTTTTCGTGTTCTTGCTTTCGGGTTCCGTGTTTTCTTGCTTTCATGGCCTTATCGTGGTTTTCGTGTGTTAATTTTTTTGCTTTCGTATGTTTCGTGGTCTAAATGTCTAAATTATATTGATTTTATGCGCG